CATATACCTTTTCTTGTGATTTATTTCAACCAAATTGAACTTCGTATGCACCTTCATTCCTTTGACGGGGTCGAACCACGTGCACTTAAATAACACAACCCGCATCATTAATGGTCCAGGGTACTCTATCTCTATGATTTCATCCAACAAGCCATAAAAATCATCTTCTGAACTGCCACCATTGGATGACCGAACAGACACACCACTATTCATTGTGGATTTTCCCATTCCATATTCTTGAGTATGAAAATTATATCCATTTATGAAATATGCTGGCCAACTTCGAACTCTTAACTGTGGACCCCATGACAGATGATATAGCAATCCTTGCCCTCCAATTTTATCATAATTACTGTGAACCTAAGGTTACACATGCAAAGTCAATAATATATATTATACTAAATGATGTATATAATTTTAATAACTTGGTTTTGGTCCATAGGCAACTTACAAATGTCTTGAACCATGCTGCAAATTGTTCATCGCACAAACGGTCAAACTCATTTGGTTGTAGTCCAAATATTGAAGTTTGGAAAATCCTAATATTAAAAACCATATAAATATTAGCAAATATTTGACACACAAAACATATATTTGCAAATTTACACTTGCTTGAAGTATAGCTCGACTTCTGGGCAGTTCAGTAAAATATAAGTATGGGCTGCATGAAATTCTTCACCTGATAAGTAACGAAACTGACATGCGCTGCTTGGTCGACCAAGATAATTGAAAATAGAGAATGTTGTGCAATTGGGATCAATGGGGCCCTCATCATTTCTGCCTGCTCTCCGCCTCTTGCACTGAACGTGCGGCTCAAAATAGTATGATGCAAATGTTGTCACTTCTTCCACAATATATGCATTACAAATTGAAGCTTTAACACGTGCCTTATTCTTCACTTTTTTCTTCAAATGATATAAGAATCTAGTTGAAATAGAAAGAAGCTTATCAGAATATATTATATGATAAACTAATTTGAACTGTATTTTAAAAAAAACATTACCTCTTAAATGGATACATCCATCGAAATTGGACGAGACCTGCAACTTTGGCCTCATAAGGCAAGTGAACTAAGAGATGCTCCATCGAATCAAAAAACGCTGGAGGAAATATCCTTTCTAAGTTGCAAAGAATAATTGGAATATCTCTCTCTAGTTTTTCCATGTGCGATGCTTTTAATACTGTCGAGCAAATATCATGGAGGAAATTGCTTAACTCTGTAATGGCGCCCCATACAAAGTTCGGTAGAACTTCCTTCAAAGCTATTGGAATTAGTCTTTCCATCGGGATGTGACAATTATGACTCTTCAAACCCGTGAACTTGCATTCATTCAAATCAACACATCTCCCGAGGTTCGAAGCATATCCATCAGGAAACCGCACAGATTTCAACCATTGACAAACAACTCGCCTCTGCTCCTTATCCAATATATAAACTGCTTTCGGTTTTGGTCCCCTGCTGCTTGCATCCACAGCTAGTATTGGCCGATCGCAAATATCTCTCATATCTTTTCTTGCGTTCAAGTTGTCTTTTGTTTTTCCGGCGACATCCATCACAGCATTTATGACATTGTCGAAAACATTCTTTTCTATGTGCATGACGTCAAGATTATGATGAATAAGATGGGCCTTCCAATATGGTAGATCCCAAAAAATACTGCGTTTTGTCCACTTATGTGTACTTCCGTACGCAAAAGTCGTGCCGTGCGGGTTCTCAACAACAGTTGGAAAGTCTTGCACACGCTCCCAAATTTGATCGCCGGTCAACCTCAATGATGGACGCGTTCTTTCAGTCCTATTCTTGGTGAACTCTTTCTTATTCCTTCTGAAAGGATGACTTGGCGGTAAAAATTGTCTGTGACAGTCAAAATAGTTGGGCTTCTTTCCATGTTCTAATCTAAATGACTTTGACCTCTCCAAACATATCGGACATCCTAAGATCCTAGCTGTACTCCATCCAGATAACATTCCGTAAGCTGAAAAGTCATTTATCGTCCAAAGAAGGGCAGCCTTCATTACAAATGTTTGATCGGTAGAAACGTCATACGTAGGGACACCTTCAACCCATAGCCGTTGTAACTCCTCAATCAATGGTTGCATATAAACATCTATCAACTTTTTCGGATTTTGTGGCCCTGTCACGATCAATGTCAAAAACATATAAGGTGTCTTCATGCACATACCAGGTGGAAGATTGTACGGCGTTAAGATAACTGGCCAACATGAATAACTTTTTCCTGTTTCCCAAATGGAGCAAATCCATCGGCACAGAGACCTAACCTGATGTTCCGAGGCTCTATCGCAAACTCAGGGTATGTTCTATCAAAATGTTGCCATGCCTCCGCATCTGAAGGATGACACATTAGACCCTCTTCTGTTTCATGATTTGCATGCCAAGTCATGTGTTCAACAGTGGCTTTAGACGCATAAAGCCTTTGCAATCTGGGGATTAAGGGCAGATAAAACATTTGCTTGCATGGTCTACGCTTCTGATTACGACCCGGCCTCCTGTTAATCTTGTACCTAGGTTGGCTACAGAATTTGCAAGATTCTGCATTTTCATCATCTCTCCAATATATCATACAACCCCTACTACATACATCAATCCTTACAATCGGAAGACCTAAGTTATCCACTAGCTTTTTCATATCATGAAAATCACTTGGCATGATGTTATCACGAGGCAATGATACCCGCATTACTTCAACAAAAGAGTTGAACCAATCCGCAGACACATTATGCTCTGCCTTGATATTTAATAGTCGGGCTGTCACCGATAACTTAGTGTGGTCCTCACAACCTGCCCATAAAGGTTCATCTGCTGCTTTCAACACATCCGAGAACTGATTAGATTGAAAAGTTTCATTATAGACATTCTCATCAAAACCCGTTACTCCTATATCTTCCAATTGTGAAGCATGACTAGTACCCACTTGTTCACGTGTAGGAGTAAAACTAGTACTTGCATGATTTGATTCTGTGACAAAATTATAACTGGCTGCATCAATCACCATCCTCTCGTATGGGTTCAATTGCTCATAATAGCCACATTCTTCCCTAACTGAAAATTAGTCACTTCTTCCATATCCTTCATCAGATATAAATGGTTCACCATGGGAAGTCCAATTATAATAGTTCGGACTAAACCCAAATCTAGTAAGGTGTTCTCTAACTTGATCACACACAAGAAATTTACCATTACCGCATTTTTTACACGGACACCTTAACTTATTTCCATCCATGAACTCATATTTACTACTAGCAAAGTCTAAAAATAGTTTCAACCCAGTACGAAACTCATCTGTCAATCCTTGACGTCCAGGTAAGTTCTTATTATACATCCAAGCAGCCCTTTCTCTTTGCATTGTGTTTGTATTAAAATAAAAAATTCTGGTAAAATATTTAAAATATCATATCTATTGTTCTTAATTAAAACCATAAAATTTTGGAAATTATAATTTTTGTTATTCACGCAACAATTAATATGAAATTGCAAAAATAGAAAAAATTACCATGTAAAGAAGACTTATCCAAATATTTGATTGAAATATTGGTAGGAGAAAGTGGTCAATTTGATGAGAATAGCAACGTTCACTTGGATTGCGAGACCTTCAATTAGACACATACCCAAAAAGAATAATCACTTAAGAATCATTTTTTAATAATTTTTAATGTGCGATGGAAACGGAATTCATCCCTCGCAAATTTGCGACGGTTCCGTTGCAAAATTGCGACGGATCCTTGATTCCATCGCAAAATTGCGACGGATCCTTCATTCCGTCGCAATTTTGCGACGGAAAGTTAATTCCATCGCAAATTTGCGACGGAATTTTCATTTATTCGTCGCAAATTTGCGACGGAAACAATTTCCGTCGCAAAACGGCATAGCCGTTCGGCCTCATCCAAAGGCCGGCGAGGTGTCGCCGGTCGCCGGTCGTTAAACCGGTGATGCAGATACGAAAAAAAAACAAACATAAACATATATAAAATAAAAGAAATTACAATTCAACGATAAATAGTCACGAAGCTAGCTATGATACTTACCGGTACAAAAGTTTCACCGAGATTAATATGTGCGTGCACGGATTTTGCTGATTTCAGACATATGAAAGAGGGAGAAAAGCGAGAGAGAGAGAGAGAGAGAGAGAGAGAGAGAGAGAGAGAGAGAGAGAGAGAGAGAGAGAGAGAGAGAGAGAGAGAGAGATAGGGTTGGAATATCACGGGCTGATAAACTACAAATTTGCGACGGACGTTCGTTTTCGTCGCAAATTTGCGACGGATTTGGCGACGGTTTTTTTTTTCCGTCGGAAATTTGCGACGAACTTTTTGCGACGGATTTATTTTCCGTTGCAAATTTGCGACGAACTTCTTTCCGTCGCACATTTGCGACGGATTTTGCGACGGTTTTTTTTTCCGTCGGAAATTTGCGACGAACTTTTTTCCGTAGCAAATTTGCGACGGAATTAGCGACGGTTTTTTATTTCCGTTGCAAATTTGCGACGGAATTTGCGACGGATAAAAATTCCGTCTCAAATTTCCGACGAATTTTTCATCCGTCGCAAATTCTGTCGCAAATTTGCGACGGAAATAAATCGTCGCAAATTTGCGACGGAAAATATAATCCGTCGCAAATTTCGTCGCAAATTTCCGACGGAAAATTTCCGTCGCAAATTACATGTTTTTTTGTAGTGGCTGTTAAGACTCTTGATCTGGTGTATCGGGCTGTCATAGACCGTGGCCTTGGACGAGTTCCAGACATGAATAGGTGGCGTTGTGGAAGGATTAGTTGACGTGGGAGACCACACAGGTCGAGCAAAGCATGAGTTGTTGGGGGTGTGTTTGATATTCTTCATTGATAGAAAGGCTATGGATCTCGCTCCATGCTAAAATTACAACAGATGTGAAAAAATATTAATTCAATAATGTTAATCTTGGAGACCCCATCTAGTCAAAATCAGAGAGAAGTAGCCTTGGCCATAGTACGATCACAAAGTTCAATCTCGTTGAAAATCGGGAATTGATTTTATTCACTTCTCAAAACTGCTTGTGTAAATAAGCTTATCACATCGTTTATATGAGTCATCAATGTCGATCTTTGTCGATCCTACAGGGGCTAGAACAGTGGGTATGAATCCCCGAGGTAGATGACTTCACGGTGCGGGTACGACCATACGACAGGCTGTGCGTCCTTCTTTTCGTTGGGTTTGTCTTTCCTGACCTCACCCACGGACACTATCTCCGCGAACCCGACTTTCTTCCTGAGCAAAGTGGTGAGCTTGACCGCATCGATCTCCCCGGTCGCCTCGATCTGATCCTGGTCACCCACCAGCGCCACGGATTGAACTCCTGGAGAGAATTTAACAAACGAAACAGGCTCAGTTTCGACTCAAATGGTGGGCTATTTCTTTTTCCTCTGCTGTTCTCAATCTCGAAATACCTAAAACAATCACCTGGAAAGCCACCCGTAAGTCTCAAAGCTTTGGAGTGAGGGTTTTGGGGGCCAAAACAATAAAAACTCGAGGCGTGATCGTTCATAGACACCTTAATCACGACCTTTTGCTGCAAAAAAAAGAAAGGAAAAGAGAAGTCAAAAGAAAATCAAGAAGGTGAATTTGATGAATCAACTCATGATTTTCTGATCAATCTATCACCTTCATGGTGCTTGCTTCGATTAGGAATTTGGGGAATTCGAAATTCTTCAATTTGCTCGAAGAATTCTGTGAAAATGTTGGAGGACGGCTGAAGAAGAACTGAGGTGCCACTCTCTATTTATAGCATCGACTTGTCAGAAGATTCAACAACTTATACAAAGGCTGGACATGTCCTATTCAGATGATAGTCAGGAGTCAAACTTTTGAACATTGAGTCTTTGGATTTTAGCTCTATTCTTGTTATTATAGTTAGAAACATTATGTCCCCTCTCTGCCCCCACCATCTATTTTCCTAACGTAATCGATGACATATGCTTCAGAAATTGTTACTATCGAACCCGAAAAGATCTATCGAAATTCGATCGAAAGTGTAGGACTTGGTAGAAAAATTTCATTCATTCAAATTCAATGTCGAACCCGAAAAGATCCATCGAAATTCGATCGATTAACACATGTGATTAGTCCGATTCAATCATTTTTTGTCACTAATTGGAGTTCAATAGAAAGGCCTCGTCTCTAGTAAAGGTTCCCCATGTTGACCCTTACAGGCCAAAGTCTCCAATGATCATTGTCATCACCCCCATCATCACTTCTCTCTCTCTCTCTCTCTGTCGGTGACTTGAGAATGTGAAGTCAATGGCATGAGGAGACGAAGACGACGACCAACTAGAAGTACTAATAAGGACGAGGGAAGGACCGTCGAGAGAACATCGAGGGAAGCATCATGCTCAATCAAAAGTGATGACTGATTCAAACCGCGTGCCGTCACTGGTTTGTCAACTTAGTTGTTTGTCAGTGAGCTGGAGAAAAAAGGAGCATTCACATTGTCGATGATGTCGTTGCCCACATTCGTGTGGGGGTAAATATTGGATATGCCACCGTTTTGCCATCTAATTCGTTTATGTATGCAATTTTTGATCCTCTACCTTTCTTCTTGTGCAGCTAAATTTGGTTAAATGAAATAGCGATGTGATGGATGCTGACTGTGTTATTCTTTTTTACCTCACGGCAAATGGGACAGCCACCTTCGCAACCCTAGCAAAATCGAAGAAAATGAAGGGATTCTTGCCTCGTCGAATTGCGGCCTGAGCCGCTAAACCTACTTGTCCCCACCATCCCACGGGAGAGGATGAACGGCCTTTGCCGAGGAAATTATGAGGGTATGCGTAGTCGATTCTCTCTCACGTAGAATTTGACGGAGTTCGATTTAATTCAAACCCTATGTCTTTGTGCTGAATATATGTTACTCTTACTATGTTAGCATTCCTAATTGGGAGTATTTTGGGGTTTTTCATGAGCAGAACATTTGGCCTTTCTACCAAAAAGTTTTAAAAAGAATTTTTCTGTATGAACATTTGTATCGTTCAATTGCAAACTTTCACTTATTTATTTATTTACTAATTTTTGTGTTTCTAATAGATGGAAAAAAGTCTTGTAGAAATGTCCGCATGACTAATATCTTTATTTGCTCGGATGCAATACAAATGAAGAGCGAGAGATGAACAGATGCTCGAATCTGTGGTTGACAAATCGACCATCTTAACGACTCCCTCTAATAGTTACCTAAGAGTCACACAGCCATAAGATTCAGGTTATTATTACTCCACACTACCCAGGACTCGAAAGTCCGAGGTTGAGGTGTTTTTCGTCATAGCCCAACCAAGATACTAGTAGCCATAAGGTCTTTCCACACTTGATATGCTACGATTAGGCAGAGCAACACGAGCCATTCAGGAGTTCCCTTACAATGCCTCGAACTCATGGGTCAGATCTCCTAGAAGACGGGCGACTCTTTTGCCACGAGGTCCATCTTCTTGATGGTGAGCCCACGTTTTGATTCTTCTTTTTTTATCGTACGCGGGGCATATCAGAGTCCCACGTGGCTATACCAATCACAAATTGGTCAGAAGAAATTTCCTCCCATCGAGAACCCAGCCAATTTTCAATTGTTTTAAAAAGGTTGAGTGCATCCAGACGGCTTAGCTCTTGGTTGAAGATGAAGTCTCTTGAGTCATGAAAATGAAATCCTCGCACGTACCATGGGATTCGTTTCACACCATGCAAAAGCATACAATATGCAACTATAACCCACTAAAGCCGCCAGAATTGACGAATAAACTCGCGATTTGATCAATCTAGCCAAATGCATCAGGGTCAGTGAAAATTCTTAGCTCTCTCTTGGAAAGGTACGTGGCCTCCAATTTCTTAAGGTCGGTCACGATCGACATCGTTTGACATGGAGAGATCAATGAGCTCCGAATCATATGCTTTCGTCATCGTTGTTGGGTCTCTAGTCATCAATGGGGTTGTAGCCCGCAAGTTTTGAGAAGGCATGACAAGACAAGAGAGGTATTGTTGCTAGAAATTCAAATTTCACGAGAAGACCTGTGATTTCACATCGTAATTTAAGAAGTTTATATATCAAAGTTGGTTTGTACGTGCGTGCCTTACGTGGTGCATTGACTTCAAAAACATACCCCACATTGCTTTTGGAGAAGAAACTGCATTAGTGAAATTTAAAAAAAGAAAATAACTTGCTTAGCCGTCTTGCTGTTGACTTGATGGGATCATCATGTTACCATGCCGCATGGTATATTGGTTTTTCTTATTACATAAAAGAAGCAAATTGAAATACGAAATAATGTGGACCCAACTTTCCAAACTCCCTGGACATAAACACACGAAAATTGAAATAGTATCTGAATGGAAGAATATGTCTATATAAGAACAACGAAGCTATGTGTCTCGTGAACCAACACAATCATTGAATTTCCAACAGTCATGTTTGTCGGAAAAGTTACAATTTATTTAAACGGAATTTCGAAATTGTGTTTAAACATAACTTTTCCTGAATTTCGAATTTTTTTGCAAATGTAAAATCTTTTTGAGACAAGTCAAGCCCATACATCTAAGTGGGATGTCAATATTAAATATAATTGGGTATATCCAATTCGCGATGTCCACCTGAGAGCCTACGACTTCAAACAACACTTGCATAGAAGCTCTCCTATTTAAACCAAATAGTTTCCGTATATTTTTCATACGTGGAACCTTTTTTTTCCGCATTCACATTACAAACTCTGCAACAATGATCTCAGTCTTTAACTTGATGCCCTTGACATGAGATGTAGTTTAATTTAGTAAACAAGAAATTCTTGCCTGCACCCAAATAATCACGTCAGTTTGATTCGTGTTGGACTCGCATAATCGATAGATGAGATGAAGGCGAGAGATTTTTTCAATAAAATGATTCTAAGACAATATCAGTCGCATGTACAATATCTTAATAAGAATGGTATAACTTTGGTATTAAAATGGGTTTTGTATAGAAATTTTTTCTATTGGTAAGTTTGTATAAAATTTGGTAAGTTACCAATAAATGTTTGGAACAACAGGACTATGCTATTTTCATTCGGGAAAATTGTCCAAAAAGTCCTAAACCTATTGCACTTTTGTCAATTCAGTCATAAACCTTTTAACTTTGCCAATTGAGTCCTAAACCTTTTCATTTCTTGCCAATTGATTCCATTCGGCCAACTTTGGCCGGAAATCACTGATGTGGACATTTTTATATAATATTTTAATAATTTCTGAATTTGTTTATGTTTTTTTCTTTTTTTTTGGATTTTAAAGCTAGGGTCCGCGAGGGTGGCCAGTCGACCCTCGTCGGCCACGGGCGAGGGTCACGATGCCCTCGCCGGCCAAGCGAGGGCGCACGAGCCTTCACCTAGATCAGGCGAGGGTCGCGACGCCCTTGCCCAGATCTGGCTAGGCGAGGGCGTGGGGCCGGCGAGTCTGGGCGAGGGCGTCGTGGCCTTGGTGGTCTCGCCGGCCCCATGCCCTCGCCTAGCTAGATTTGGGCGAGGGCTCGTGCCCTCGCTTTGCTGGCGAGGGTGTCGCGGCCCTCTCCTAGAAAAAAAAATGATAAAAGGAAAAAAACAAAAAAAATTCAGAAATTATTAAAATATTATATAAAAATGTCCATGTTAGCGCCACGTTAGCGATTTTCTGCCAAAATTGGCCGGATGGACTTAATTGGCAAGAAATGAAAAGGCTTAGGACTCAATTGATAAAATTAAAAATGTTTAGGACTGAATTGACAAAAGTGCAATAGGTTTAGGACTTTTTGGATAATTTTCCTATTTTCATTCACTATGTTACTGTTCCCAATTTGTGGACTCACTTTTGGGGTCAATGCTCAAACATAGAATTTGCCCGTATACCAACCATGGGTACTTAGGCGCTTTCGTAACTCGGATAAAAGGCTGGATAGGATAAGAATAATCCCATCGGGCATTTATTAAAGGCACCTTGGAAGTGAAATAAGCCCAAATAAGTTTGCATAAAATAAAGAGTAACTTATTTAGGCTTTAGGGATGTGCAGATAATTTTATCCAACCGGAGACATTGAAAGTCCTAAAACTTATCAAAAAATGCAACTGAGTCCTAAACTTTTCAAAAAGTGCAATCGAGTCGTAAAATTTGTCACGAAAGTGCAATCGAGTCTTAAAATTTGTCCCGAAAGTGCAATTGAGTCTTAAAACTTTAAAAAAGTGCACTCAACGGAAGGATTTGATTGAATCAATTTGATAAGTTTTAGGACATGATTGCACTTTTTGAAAGTTTTATGACTCAATTGCATTTCGTGACAAGTTTGAGGACTCAACTGTACTTTTTGAAAGTTTAGAATTCAATTGCACTTTCATGGCAAGTTTTAGGATTTCCAATTCCCTTATCCCCAATTTTTTTTAATAGAAAAAAGCAAAAGACTTAACTGCCTACATGACCAAAGTAGCATCCCACCTTTGGTGCTGCGCTGGCAATCGCAGCCCGGTTGTTGTATCGTGTCGCCGTGGACGCACCTCTTTCTCTCTCTCTTGGAGGTGGTTGACCACGCGATGACAGATGAGACCACCGCACAACGGCTCAAGGGTCGTCATTTCGACCAGAGATTGAAACCGATATGCTCTTTTCAACTTTTTGTCATGGTCTGAGGCAATTACCGCGACAAATGCAACCATCACCAGTGGTTGCCCGGTTGACCCCTGCGGTGGCAGTGGTCTGCTCCCACACCATGAGCTGACCATCTTTCTATTTACATTTGCCGTGGCGTTTTACCGAACAGTAGATAAGATATAACGAATCTCCACATTTCCTATCCCATCTTAGTACATGTTATGTTAACCCCTGGAGCGCGGTTCATAAACAAAACAGAAACTAGGAACATAAGGGCCATAGATATAGGGGTGTTTCCATCACGCAGTAAAGCAAGGCTATTATTTAATCATACTAAAGTGAGGCTATTTAAACATAATACCAATACAGCATAGCTAACTAGTGAAGACACTGAGAATTCTTATGTTCAAACATATTTCCTAACAAGAGCATGTAAAAACTTTCTTATTGGCGTCGTCGGAATAGTTCAATCAATGTTTCAAATTGCTACTATATCACAAGAGACGCGATCACCAGCGCAATAATTTCTCGGGAGGAATTTCCAAAGAAAAGCAGTGCTGCAGTGCTTTTGCATCAAAAGTTCAATTAACTATTTTCTCGTTCTTTCGCCACCATCCTTCTTACGCGAATGAAGAAGAACTAAAAACTGATGAGTTCAATTCAAATCGGTAAGTTCTTTCAAAGCAAACCAAAGAACTCAAAACTCGAAAACGTGTGAGCATGCAAGTATGCACACACATTTCCAACGTTAAACTCGTGTTATTAGCAAAAGAAAAGAGGTGTGGTTGATTTGAAGCATCACACGAGCTTAAATGAAAGCCAAAGAATCAGGGTTATCATTCACATTGTGACATATAACCAGTTATGTACACCTAATAAGCAAATGATCAAAATTCCCTATTTCCAGAATGTGAACAATTTCTTCTGTATAATAATTCAAAAGTAACGCGGTACAATTGCCTCTCTAAGCACAAACCTTTTCTCTGCAAAGACAAAAATCTTGAGCCACGAGGACGGTATGGTGAACCCATTGACATCTGACATGAGTTTTAAGAGAAAGTCATCCACACACAGCATAAAGACCTCATAGGGGCTGGAGTTCTTGCTCAGGAACAATCGAGTCAACAGGCTTGTAAGCAGTTATAGACTGCTGTCGACGTTTCCAAACAAACCATCCGCCAGAAGCTAAAGATGCAATTACTAAAGCAATGATAGTTGCTGAAATTACAACCACATAATGCTCTTGCCACCACGTCCTGCATTGTTTTAGAACAACAAAATCGAACCACAAAGTTATCTGTGAGAATTCTGCTAACCAACAGTGGGAGTATTCATGCAACAGAAGATGTACAGTACACTTTAGATAGCTTGCTTCTGCCACTATAAAAGAGCTTCTCGCTGCATGTCCATTCACAACTATATTCTAAAGCTTTTATATAATTATTTGCTTCGCTAGTATTCATGATTTAGAACAAAATTTTCAAAGAGATGCAACTGGCTTCCGTAATGTTATAGTAGAACAGAAAGCAGGATCGAGTTCAGGTTTTATATGCATATCAAGATGATGAAAATGGTGGACCTCAAAACTATACCTACTAGGGCCGTGGTCATAATTCTCTCATACACATTGCTAAAGGCTAATATGAGAGGTAGAAGAATTCTATAAAAAATGACACGGGAAACTGGATCCTAAGGTTTATTTGCATTTTCTAAGTTACTCAAGCAAGCAGTGGAAGATCCTCCGAAGTACTTAAAAACAATCTTAACTCAAACCAATTGTGAACAGATGAGCAAAACGCCAACAGGTGTGCAATACACTAAATCTCTCTCTAGCTCACTGATATTTCATGAATGCTCCTTGGTCCTATTTGTCAGCAAGAGATAGGGCACGGAAGCTACAAGAGCTAAAACTAACAAATTATGCTTTTTGATTCGCAAAAACATCACAAATTCTACTGAATCTATATCAATATGTTTTAGTGAGTTTCAACTCCATCAATATCTTTTACAAGCCTCCCTTATCCTCTGTTTTGTTCACATGTACTTTGATGCTTAATATGATGAACCAGGACCACATCATCAAGTATTTCATTAATCTATTGAAGTTAAAGTAGCATACCAAACCGACAAAAAAAAAAGTAGCATACCGTGCCACAGGAGGTTCAACATGCCATTCGATGAACTGATAACTTCCAAAGGTGTTAGGAAGCTGCACTCGATGTTCGGAAAGCCTGGCAATAATTTCCTAAAGGCATTATCAAATCACCTAGTCAGAAATCAATCATTGGACAAGGAACTAGTTAACTTTTGAAATTTTTGTAATCACCGTGGCAGTTGTATTGGACATATAGGCCCCCTTTCCACCAGGAAGGATGCACCACCTAACAATGGAATCATTTCCTTTGGCCGTAAGACTCACTAAATGGACCTGAAACCATCCAGGCAAAATGAAGTCAATATGAGCATCCAATAATTGAGCCAACCCGAAACATAGAATTTGTTGGCTTCTGCACAGTACTTTGCACTTCACATATAAATTAGAGGTTCTATGGATTTCTGCTGCTAATTATCCCCCATTTGTATACTGTATTTGTCTAACCTGTGAAACATTTAAAGCTAACTCATGAGCTATGAATTCAGTAAGCTCTGTGATGTGAGGATTGAGATCTGAGTAGTTGACGCTCAAGGACAAGTCAAATGTAATCTCTCCAATTTGAATTTCTGCAATATGTCAAGAGATTGAGAGAGATCATCAGAAAACATATCACTGAAAAATATCCCAAAGCAGAGAACCATATATTATTTGGAAGTATCATCTGCAGAGGTGCATAGGCAACAAGTATCTATTGTCTAGACTTAACAATAGAAGAAACGATGTTCTAAAAACTGGATGGGACAGGTTTAATTCAACTGAGTACCTGTGGCTTTCCCAGGTTAGATCAACTTACACATATTGGACCTGGTCAAAATAAAGAAAGCAGGACAAAAGGAGAGACCTGTTCAACTGGATAAAAACGCATTGCATTGGTTTTCTTACTTTTTGTAATGTTCAAGAAAACTGGAAATACAAGACCTAAAAAAAGGAAAAATAAGTGACAACAACAGTAACAAAGTAATAAAGTATTCTGATTAAATGAGTTCACATCTTCAGAATATGTCATCATTAAGTTAACAAAATTGATACAGAATTAATTGACATACTTTCTGGGTCTCTAACTATTTCCCATCTTGTGAACTTTTATTTGTCAAATAAAAGAAAGTTTGGCGACATCATGTAAGACAGACCAATTGAACCCATTGAAACATCAAACCTCGAAACAGTCACAAATTAAATTCTTTTATCAATGCAGTTTTAGAAAACATTCCGAGTAATAGGTTTAACTTGAACATCAAAGCACTTTATTCATAGAAGAAGTTACTGTAGGAAAGCATCATAAGGAAAAAAAAAACAAAAGAAAAATCACCTCTCTGTAAATCATTAAAGACTAAGTTCAAAAAGTTTGGCACTTTATTCACTTGAAGTAGGATTTCTCAGATTTCCACATTCAACTACAAGTTCAGTAAAGTTTTGATTATGTTGTTCCTATTAAAAAGAGGTGACTGAATTTCATTGACTTTAGGCAAAACTTTGTTTCTAAATTGTGTGACAAAATGAATTCACAACTACAAAGCCTAAGACTCCCCAAAGTGCTACACATAGGATCTTTAGGTGTGATGCCCACAAAAATTTAGGCTTCATGAGTGAGTTGTCCACTGAAATTTTCCTTTGTAATTACAACACAAGTTGCTCACTCGCCATCCTATATCAGTTTTAATAACATAGTAAAGGATCCTAGAAAGTATTTGATTATTCTTCTCCATATATGTTGAGAAGCGTTCCTAAAGAAAGCATGTTTCTAATGAGTAGAAAGAGGTAATCTGGCATATCAATGTTGAAGAAACATGTATGGAGAAGAGAACAAGAAAGAAGCACATAAAGGTGTTCGCCAAAGCTTTCGCATTTCTTTTGAATCAAAGTACGTAATCTGGTGTTTAACAAAGGTGTATGTTGAAGAGAACGAGAAAGAAGAACACAAAGGTGGTGGTGAAAAATACACCAAGTCCAAGAGATTATATTTGTGATACTATCCCAATCCCAACTGACTGATACAACAGTAGCTACCTACTCTGAAGCAGAATAAGGCGAAGGTTTTGGCAACAAGCAAATGGGACATAGCGCAGATTACTATCGTATATATAATTGCTTTTTCAACTGGCAAAGCTCTGAATCCAAAGAGAAGCACAAAATAGAAATGCAAGATAGAATACCATCAAGCGTGCTGCATACAATACCTGGAATATTGAAATCTGCTGGTGCCCTAGGAGCTAGGTTGGGTGGCATATCCTCAGGTGGGCCCTTTCCATCCGGAGCTGAAGGCAATGGTGGAGGAGCATTAGACTGTTGAAGTCTTTCCCACAGCTCAGAACAATTTGTTTTCCAAAAACCAATCTTTGAATGCTCACGATCATACATCACAAGGGTATTACGCACAATGATACCTAACAAACAACAAAACATAGGGGACAAAAGTTATCGCTCATTTGCAAATAAAATTACAAAATTACACATGATAAGGGATTTTTAGTCCACATGAACTGGTGGGGTTGTATGTTTAATCAACGAATATTTCAAACAACCCAGTCCCACATAACATCATACTTAATCCAAAATCTCTGGATGTGGAACACAACACGCAAATATCCTTGCTAAGCATGTACGCATCCTGACCTGAAGAAAAATTCTGACTAGAAAGCACACGAAGATATATCCAGATGAATTCAGGCCCGGTGGCTAAGACTTTTCTTAATTTTTTTTTGGTTTCGGTGGTTAGGCTCAAATTATGGAGCGAGCGGGGAAAAACAAAAGCTCCAGATGAAAGAATTTTTTTCTAAAGCAATCCCGCTTCTATAGTCGCCTCTCAGTTTTGAAGGAAGTTCTGATTTCACATTCAAAGAAAGAAGCACCAAGCACAAAATCAAGGATGCTTTTTACTACCATAACTACAACTTGGGTTCAGTAAGTGGTGAAGATATTTCACAATGCTAAATACAATGACAATTTTTTCCCGAAATATCGAGGTTCCAAACCACACTTGGGCTAGTGATATAGTGACATGTATAAATAAATAAGCTAGCACGTCACCCACCTCCTAAAAGAGTTGTTGGATCCTTTCCGTTCTGAAAAATGCCCAGGCAATATGCGCCGCGCACCTTTGAATGCTTTAAGATATAGCACACAAATAAAACAGGAAGAACCATCACTCATTGTATAATAACAAGTAGAGATGAAAACAGCGACGTGGCGTGCCAAAAGAGCTTGTACTAGATGCACTCTTCTGTTTGCAAACATAAATTTGATTTCTCTCCATTTCACATATTCCAGGAGAAGAAATACAGCTACTCACCCTGAATAAGTAATTTTCAGGTGATAGTGACAGCTTTTGCCCATTCCCAAAAACCATGTCCACCACTGGAAATGTCTTTGTGAGTTGAAAAATGTCACTAAATGAAAAATCACAGCAGCCCTTAAGTCTCTAACAGAAGCAGCAGAAGTTATTCAGAACGAAGCAAGTTTGTCAATTAAGACAGATATTACCTTCCCGCCCCAGAAAAGCAAATGTCATTGTAATTGGGATCGGGACCGCGGATCTGCTTAAGAGACTGGACTTCCTTCATAAGCTGCACACAATTTTTCAAAACAAAAATATAATGAGATAAGGTTGCAAAAAGGCAAAATGAAAAGAAAGGTTTCAAAAAGGGAAAAAACATTTCGTAAATCTAGAATAAAGAGAAAAATAACAGTAACTAAAGGAAGGAACGATATAGGTGGTGCTAAAACTTGTAGATAGTATGCTAAATCTTTCAATCTTCTTAGAAAATAGAAGCACGTATAGTCAGTTAACATCAGCATCCAAGAATGAATGGGATATGAACCAGAATGTCAGAGAAGCTCGAATAGCCTTCCCAGAGGGACCAATCGCCCTATTAAATGGTTGTACCTATTAGATGAGTGAGTATCACACTATGAGTATGGTCTTATAAGCAGCAACAACATCATGCGATACATTAATCTGGGTAAATATTAATTATGTCAAAGAGGAACTTGATCACATTCTCCTTTCTTTTTTTTTCCATTTCATTTGTCTTTCTTTTTTGTTCAGCTGCTATTTAATACACCAATATTAGACCAGATTCATTAAAATCATAATTCAATCAATATACCGTTGTAACCATAGTAGTGGTACATCCTCTACAAAATAAACCAAAATATAATACAAGCAGCCACTAGTTAAACAAAATAGTTACATCTTTCCAACATGACACTGAAGTCCGAAACCACAGCATCCATCACACTTCAATCTTACAGACAATGACATTGTGATACAAATTCTAAAATATCTTGCTTGTAAAAGTTGAATGAGACGCATCGACTTATTGTCCGCATGTTTAAGCTCTTGGTCACAATACATAACTACAAAGAGAACAGTCACATGAATCGAATCCATACATATTGAAATGAATGGTGTGGGAATGGTGAAAGGGTGATGTGGCCTCTTATATGATTTTCTTATGGTTTTTAATTTTTTATTTTACTCTCATACTTCATTCTTTTACTATTCCTACTTCCTACCTAACCAAATACCACCATTAGAAAAATTAATAAAATTAAACTAGGTGAATGTATTTTACACAAAATTAGTTTTAGTAACTAAAGTGGTTATCTGTCTTCTTGAATACTTTTTAATGCTTATGGTTTAAGTTCAATTCTTTTCTTAACTTATTTATCTGTTACTATTTAAAAATTAAAATTACTATCTGAAATTATATCGTCAAAAAAAATTGTATTATGATGAAATGTGAAGCATAGATGTTTGTATGGGTGCTTATAGCATTGCGGACTGTTCTCTTCTTCTTCTTCTTCTTCTTCTTCTTCTTTTCAAATTGAAATGTCAATAATAGATATTATCTAAATATTGTCATTGCGTGAAAGTGAGGAAGTAGTTATGGTACGAAAAAAGAAATATCACATAGTAGGCACCAAATTTGAACTGTCTGATAGTAGTAATAATAAAAATGTTGATGACAGATAGAATACAATAGAATAGAATAGATGATCTACCATAATAGAGTTATGATAACAATTGAAAGTAATCATTTTTGGTGATTTGTCATCTTTTTAGAACTTATAATATACTTCTTACAATTTCTCTTTTGTATTTTGCAGAGACAATAAAATCATTATACTCTTTTATGTGTTCGATCAATCCGTGCATTCACGGGTATGATCCTAGTGTAGTCATATTATGAGTAAAGGTTTTGTTTTCCTTTTTCCCCCCTAGCTAAGCACACAGGTCACCTCTAGGAAGAGGGAGAAAATTTACGCAACTTTCTCGAGATAAAAAAGAGAGGGAAGTGAATCTTACAGCTTCTTTAAAAGCTAAAAAGGCAGCTTCTGGTAGGTATGCATATGTTGTACCACTGTCCAGGACAGTTCCATGTTTTCCATCAAAAACACTGGGTTTTAGAGCCAATTGCTTCCCCGCAACATGTATCTCCTTCAGATCAATATTGTAATAGGGACTGTTAACATCCCGAAACTGGAGTAAATGTGTGAGATGTATCAAAAGTAGCTGTCTATAAATTGAATTACATACTACAACCACAAGATATTGCGCTTGCGAAACATACCTACGTCCAGCATCTGAATATGCATACACCATGTCTGATGGTGGAAATATTCCACCAAGAACCATAGCACCGCCACCAATTTCCATTCCACCATAACATAAGGAGAATGAATCACTAATTACGCCTTTCTCAACAAGTTGATCAACAATACTGAGATCTCCACGGCCAAGCCCCATTATGCCATCAGCATGCTGGCTAAAAAGGTCGCCTGTTTCAACATTTTCACAACCAAAAACAGCACGTTGTGGGGCAAGTTCACTAAGATTGCCAAAGGATACTATGTCGTCGCCAAGCACACCACTGCTAGTACTCATTTCAGCATACTGCCTCTCGTAAATACACTGCACTCTGTTGTCATCACACGTGCAATCAATGTTGCATTTGACGGGTTGGTAGGTACTTGACAATTCAGGTTGGAACTTTGGATCCTAGAGAAAATGTCAACGTCAGTGCACAAATTAACAGCTAAAGGCATGCGCCAAGTCAATTATGCATCATGGGAGCATTTGTCAGCTATAGAGATCTCTAAAGATTTACATGCAAAGTTGTCAGCAGAAATAGTCTATTTGAAAATGTATACAGCTAGCGCATCCTTCAGTTTTTTGAAAATGTATGCATTCAAGCTTCTAATCAGTAGGTCAAACAAAGTTGCTCTCTACAGAGCATGCTCTATATAGTCAATACTGCAATTGGTTTCACAGCAGCAAGTTTCAACCCTACCACCTTTTCATCATAAGGTCGAAAACAGGGCAGGAGCGAATGGGAATTTGCAGAACATTACATTTTCTCTTAATTGTCTCATTCAAATATATTGATTGACTTGAGCAAGGATAACGGCGTGTCATTCTGGATATGTAATATCTTTGTGTACACTTCTTGACACATTAGAATTCTCAATAAGGATTATCTCCAACAAATAGACCATGCTGTCAACGGAAACTAGGCTTTCTTATGAATAGTTATTGAAAAGAATACAGCGACCATCGGATTTTTCTACCCATCTAATTTCCTTCCAATCAGTCTCCTGTCTGGTATGATCCTTGCTTCCTTTACTTCTTTGAAGATATGTAATGCACCAAAAGGGTAGGAAAAGCTAGGGCATCCTGCACCAATTGTTATAAGAGCGCGCAGTTCTTCTGGCATCACACACTTTTTACATTCCTAGTGTTGCTTCCATCACTTGCAACTTCACCATAACAAGCCCCACGTTACACCAGCTCAGCGAAATACATCAGAAGTTCAGTATTTGTTGGTCTAAGATAAATGCTACCCACAAATTGATGCTAGATGGTGGATTCTTTTCCAACGTCAACGCTCGGATTCAATTAGAAAAAGCAACGCAAAAACAAAACTTAGCAAAGAAAGGGACTTGATGAAGTATCAAAAAACTACCTGATGACGGCCACACTGGTCGCAGGTAGAGCACGGCACATAAGTGACAGTGCTTCCCGTGTCAACGATCAGCGCGAATTTCTGAGGCGGCGTTCCAATCCAAAGCCTCGTAGTATAGTACCTATTCAAGTACAAAATATCCCGCCCAAAACAGAGAACAATCAAAACGCCAAACTCACACCGAAAAAATGAGAACAGCAACCGCACCCAAACTCCACTAGAGAGCCAATAACGAAATCCGGCGACGTACCCGTTGAGGAGGAGATCGTCGTACAGAGACATGCGCGCGTTGGGGCTATCCGATCGCTGGAGATGCCGGCGGGAGGAGGAGGCGGCCCGGGAGGCGTCTGGGGGCGAGAGGAACAGCGGGAGGACCATGGCGGTGGGGTGGGTGGCGACGTCGCGCGCGGCCGAGACGCCGGACCGGGCGAAGGCGAGGAGCAGGCACAGGGAGACGGGGACGATGACAGCGGCGGCGGCGGCGGCGGTCAGGCGCAGCGGCGGAATCGCCATTGTCGGAGGGAGGGGAGCTTCGGCGCGAGCCGACGACGAATACGGGCAACGGGAGATCTGGCAATCGGGAATTTGCAGATCTCGGCCAGGGGAAGAAGATGACGACGGGGAAGAGTATGGAGGGAGAGAGAGGGGTCAACGGATTTGCGTGGGTCCCACCCAAGTTTGGTCAGAAGTTCTTTTCTTCGTTATTTTTTGAAAAAATACTACCAAAAACCTCAAACTATTCTACTTATAATAAATTTACCCTGAATTTTTTTTGTAACACGAAAAACCCCAAACTATACTACTTATAACACATTTACCCCACAATACTTTGACTCATGGATATTTTTGTCTTTTTCCTTTTTATGTTTTTTTTTCTTTTCTTCTCTCTCTTCCCTCCGCCAGCCATGGTGGAGGGAAGTCGGCGAGGGCTGTTTTCGCCGGACGTATCACAAGTGGCATAGTTTAGGATTTTTCGTATCACAAAAAAAAATTCAGGATAAATTTATCACAAGAGGTATAGTTTGGAGTTTTCGTGTCACAAAAAAAAGTTAAGGGTAAATTTATCACAAATGGCATAATTTTGAATTTTTGGTGGTATTTTCCCTTATTTTTTTAATTCATTTGCTTTTTTGTTTTCTGGTGGGATCGGTTGTTGGCTGGTCAGATGCAGAAGTTTCGATGTTTCTTGTTCTCTTTGGATTTGGATGTGGTCACTTTCCTTGAGCAATCAGCATCAAGTGCCCTTAAACAAAATGTGGGGGATGGAGTTGTGTTAAGGAGGTGCTCGTTAAACATATTTTAATGTGGAACGATTCTGTCTTTTGCAAAAAAGAATTGATTATATATGACATGAAAATTAGTCGGTGCGTCGAATCTTTACTGAGTTTCCAAGCTTATATCTGGGCTAGTTGACTTGCCTGGTTTAGTATGAAGCTTAATTTAGTAACATTTGTTCAGATAATATTGTGTGGTCATCACTTTATGTTATTACAGTAAATTCATTCCGCGTCGTTAAATGTATATGTTCATGTGACGCATGGATCCTAACAATTCTAGGAATAAAGCTGCGAAATTTTGTAGATGTTATAGATGGAAATGAAATGAAAGTCACCTTACTAGCTGGTTGAATGTTACTTGTGATTATGGGTGATCGGTTTCAAGGTGGGTCGGTTCCCGATTTTGTAAATCTCGATTTTCAAAAAATTGGAACAGAGAACCAAACTGGTTGGTTCCTGTTCTACTAGGAAACTTATTCAATTCATTAATTAGACACGATTGATGGCTAAAACTCACTTATATTTGTCCACAATGTTTATGTGCATGTGCTTGCATACCTGCGTGTAAGATAAGATTGTAGATTTGAAATTTAGTGGGGTTGATTAGTCTAAATATATTGGTTGCATTAGTAAAAGCATTTTCCATGTTCAAAAGTCAATCTTACCTACTTGGTAACTTTGCTTGAAAAGCCTGTTTTGTGCATAAAAGTTGTAGAAAGATGACCGAGCCGTAGACTGCACATTAGTGTAGCGACCTAGGATAAAACTTATCCCATCCGGAAGAAGGTCAATGTCACTATATGTTGATGTCAACGGGGTTGTGATGGCATGCTTACCCTTCTTGAAGGTCCTATGGGCCTTTTGTGCGGTTAAGTAACCATAACTTGTACATATCATTCGTAACGGGTTTGAACTGCCTATCTATAACAATATTTCGGGAGAATTGTTAAGCTTAATCAGCCTTTCCACCCTCTGATACTCCTTGGTGGCTACAGGTGATATTGGCATGGAAAGCAAAGAATAGACTTTATGCGTTTGAGGCTGATATGTTAATAGGTGCTTTATTTTGTAGGGGTGATCGGTTCCCGGTCCGGTCCGGTTCTGAGTGGAACCGGGAACCGGACTGGGAGAACCGGTTCCCAATTTTGGAAACCGTGGACCAGACCGTTTGGTCTTAGGACCAGGAGCCGGACCTGACCGTCGGTCCGGTCCGGTCTAATAGAACCGGTCACTTAGGATTTAGTTTTTTTTTTGGTCAAATACTTAGGGTTTAGTTCACATTTTACTAATTTTTATCAATGAATTTATATCAATGAAGTTCACTTAGAGTTTAGTTCACATTTTACTAATTTTTATCAAAGAATTTATGTCAATAAAGTTCACTTAGGATTTAGTTTACATTTTATTAATTTTTTTGAAGAAAAAATATGTCGGTCCGGTTCCCCCTTGGAACCGGGAACCGGACCGCCCGGACACCGGTTCCACTTTTAGGAACCGGGAACCGGACCGGCACCCGTTAGAACCGCCCAAATAGTGTCGGTCCGGTCCGGTCTGGGCGGTTCCCGATTCGGGTGGTTCCGTTTGCACACCCCTATTATTTTGGGTTTGAGTAGTTTTCTTGAAGAAGGAAAAGAGAGCCCCCGCGTCCTGGGATAATCCACGGAAAAGCATATTTGCTTTATTATTTACATGGAAGGAAAATAACAATTTATAATGTAGACTTCTGGGAAAATAAAAGATTGTGTCAATAATCAAATAATTAACATAAGATAACATACAAGAACCCTGACAGGGAATGAAATAGAGACTCCGGTCTATGAAACCATGAGCAAAAGAAGGGAAATCGACACAAATGGTCACTAAACTTTGGTTCAATATATAATATGATCTCTGGACTTATAATTTGTTTAATATGGTACCCGAACTGTTACCCAATGTGTAATATGGTCCATGAACTTTTAATTTATTCAATATGGTCCATGGACTTTTTGTACATATTCAATTTAGTCACGTACTATGTGAAAATGTTCAATGTTATTCATAAACTTGAATTAATGGAAGGACAAAATTGAATATTTCCATCTAGTTTAGGTACTAAGTTGAACATCTACCAAAAGTCCAGGGACCATATTAAACAAATTAAAAGTTTAGGAACCATATTGCATATTGAGCTAAAGTTTAGGGACTGCATTGAACAAATTAAAAGTTCAAGGGCCACATTGCATATTGAGCCAAAGTTTATGGACTATTTGTGTCATTATCGCGCCAAAGAAAAACCCAAGAATATGCAAGCCCAGAAGTCCACCGCTAGAGGATGCCCATGTTGAGCTCTATCGCCGGAAACTCATGGAACTTGAAACCCTAGCATGGCCTGGACCGAAACAAGGCGGTGGGTGCTTGGGCAAGCATTGACAGATGCCCATGGGAGACCTGGGGATGATGAGAGGTGTTTCGCCGGAAATGCTCTCACGATGAAATATAATTCACCGAAAGTTATTTTTTGGTTCTTAATGAGAGAAGACCGGATTCCGTGGCGACTCCGGACAGGAAATATCCGGGAGGACAAGGAAAAACTACAAACTTTTACTTCGAACTTGGAACCAGACTATAAGTACAAACTGTGCCAGAATTTAATCGACGACAAAACTTGAAAATACAGTCACACACGTACATAAAGATGTAACACCATAATTTAATCAATGACGTAACGCCCGGGATAAAGATACACGCCAGAATTTAATCGACGACGCTAATCGAAAAGCTACAGCTAAGGAAAAGTAAAGTGCGGTACGGGAAAATAAAGATAATTGAAAGATAACATGTTGTTTGATTTGTCCGGGGGACTTTCTTCTGGCGGCCGAGTGCTATTTATAATGTGAGATTGGCAATCGTTTTTGACATCGTGTTCGATAACCACCGTTGATCTCATCTTCACCGTCCATCTAGTGACATCTGTCAGCCAACTTCTATCGATCTTATCTTTTATTCGAGGTGGTAACCGTTGTCAAGTTCATACTGTCTTGACACTTGTCCTTCTTGAGGCAGTAATCGTTATTGAGCTCATGTCGTCTTGACACCTGTTCTTCTTGAAGCAGTATCTGTCATCGAGTTCCTCTCATCCTGACACCTGTCCTTTCCGGGTGATAATTGTCGTCGAGCTCTTCTCATTCTGACACTTGTCCTTCCCGGGACGATAACCGTCATAGAACTCTTCTCATTCTGACACCTGTCCTTCCCGGGACAATAACCGTCGTCGAGCTCTTCTCATTCTGACACTTGTCCTTCCAGGACGATAATTGTCATCGAGCTCTTCTTATTCTGACACCTGTCCTTCCCGGGACGATAACCGTCATTTAGCTCTTCCTAGCTTGACACCCACCTTTTCACTTGTCGACGTACTCGATGACAATCTTTCGTCGACAACTTTAGCGCTCGCTCTCAAGCTTTTTCAATTTCAAATTACCGCCGATATCTCCTAGTGCTTGCCAGGTGTTTTGCTTACGTGAGCCGTCTCATAACCCTTTAACGTCTTTTATTATTTTATTTATTTCAATTGTCGATAACCTAATTAATTATAGGTGTCAACAGAATCATGTCGACAAGTTGGCCATTTTTTGGTGTAAACAAGAGGTGATACGAGTCACCATATAAATGGATAGGAAAGAAGGCATGGAGTGCCGCGATGTCGAGAGGGAGAGATGGGCAGCATAGGGTCGCTGCCGGTGTCGGTTGCTTGATCAATGGCGAAGGCGAGATCATTCACGGTGGGTTGGTGGCATGTGATAGAGAGATCTAGTGGTATGGTAGAGAGCAACGAGTGATGATGGTCGAGGTGTGATTACAAGATGTGGCAGTGGCTAGGTGAGGGGTGACGATGATATGGCTAGCGATAGGTAGCGGAGGCGGCAATATGGGAGAACGGCAAAGCTACGGCGGAGATGGATGGACAAGCAACAGATGGCAGCGGAGGAGGGGAAGGAGGCACCTTCTTCTGCTGCCTAGAATCTTAGGCTCCATTCGTTTTACGGAAAATAACTTCCAGGAAAACGTTTTCCGGATTTTCTGTTGTTTGTTTCAAGGAAAATAAAATAGTCATGAAAAACATTTTCCCTCAAGGGAGAAAATACCTTCAAAAGTGAGAAAAATATTTTTCGCTTTTCACAAAGCGGAAAAAATTTTTCATATCTTTTTTCACCTCACTTCCTTTCACAGAACACATTTTACTTTGATTTTTATTATTTCTTTTCTTTTCTTAAAAAATCGAGTTTTTAATTATTTTTAATATTTTTCTTTTTCTTTTTTTCTTTTCTTTTTCTTTCTCTTCTTCCTTCCTCTGCCGTGGCCAGCGACCGGTCAAAAGCGAGGCTCGTTGGATCTGGCTCAACCTCACTCGAGGCCGGCAAGGCCGGCCTGTGGCCAGTCGCCGTGGCCGGCAGAGGAAGGAAGCATGTTCCTAAAGAAAGCATGTTTCTAATGAGTAGAAAGAGGTAATCTGGCATATCAATGTTGAAGAAACGTGTATGGAGAAGAGAACAAGAAAGAAGCACATAAAGGTGTTCGCCAAAGCTTTCGCATTTCTTTTGAATCAAAGTAGGTAATCTGGTGTTTAACAAAGGTGTATGTTGAAGAGACCGAGAAAGAAGCACACAAAGGTGGTGGTGAAAAATACACAAAGTCCAAGAGATTAAATTTGTGATACCATCCCAATCCCAACTGACTGATACAACAGTAGCTACCTACTCTGAAGCAGAATAAGGCGAAGGTTTTGGCAACAAGCAAATGGGACATAGCGCAGATTACTATCGTATATATAATTGCTTTTTCAACTGGCAAAGCTCTAAATGCAAAGAGAAGCACAAAATAGAAATCAAGATAGAATACCATCAAGCGTGCTTCATACAAAACCTGGAATATTGAAATCTGCTGGTGCCCTAGGAGCTAGGTTGGGTGGCATATCCTCAGGTGGGCCCTTTCCGTCTGGAGCTGAAGGCAATGGTGGAGGAGCATTAGACTGTTGAAGTCTTTCCCACAGCTCAGAACAATTTGTTTTCCAAAAACCAATCTTTGAGTGCTCACGATCATACATCACAGGGGTATTACGCACAAGGATACCTAACAAACGACAAAACATAGGGGACAAAAGTTATCGCTCATTTGCAAATAAAATTTTGAAATTACACACGATGAGGGATTTTTTGGTCCACATGAACTGGTGGGGTTGTATGTTTAATCAACGAATATTTCAAACAACCCAGTCCCACATAACATCATACTTAATCCAAAATCTCTGGATGTGGAGCACAACACGCAAATATCCTTGCTAAGCATGTACGCATCCTGACCTGAAGAAAAATTCTGACTAGAAAGCAGACGAAGATATATCCAGATGAATTCAGGCCTGGCGGCCAAGACTTTTCTTAATTTTTTTTTGGTTTCGGTGGTTAGGCTTAAATTATGGAGCGAGCGAGGAAAAACAAAAGCTCCAGATGAAAGAATTTTTTCTAAAGCAATCCCGCTTCTAGAGTCGCCTCTCAGTGGTGAAAGAAGTTCTGATTTCACATTCAAGGAAAGAAGCACCAAGCACAAAATCAAGGATGCTTTTTACTACCATATATACAACTTGGGTTCAGTAAGTGGTGAAGATATTTCACAATGCTAAATACAATGACAATTTTTTCCCGAAATATTGAGGTTCCAAACCACACTTGGGCTAGTGATATAGTGACGTATATAAATAAATAAGCAAGCACGTCACCCACCTCCTAAAAGAGTTGTTGGGTCCTTTCCGTTCTGAAAAATGCCCAGGCAATATGCGCCGCGCACCTTTGAATGCTTTAAGATATAGCACACAAATAAAACAGGAAGAACCATCACTCATTGTATAATAACAAGTAGAGATGAAAACAGCGACGTGGCATGCCAAAAGAGCTTGTACTAGATGCACTCTTCTGTTTGCAAACATAAATTTGATTTCTCTCCATTTCACATACTCCAGGAGAAGAAATACAGCTACTCACCCCGAATAAGTAATTTTCAGGTGATAGTGACAGCTTTTGCCCATTCCCAAAAACCATGTCCACCACTGGAAATGTCTTTGTGAGTTGAAAAATGTCACTAAATGAAAAATCACAGCAGCCCTTAAGTCTCTAATAGAAGCAGCAGAAGTTATTCAGAACGAAGCGAGTTTGTCAATTGAGACAGAAATTACCTTCCCGCACCAGAAAAGCAAATGTCATTGTAATTGGGATCAGGACCGCGGATCTGCTTAAGAGACTGGACTTCCTTCATAAGCTGCACACAATTTCTCAAAACAAAAATACAATGAGATAAGGTTGCAAAAAGCCAAAATGAAAAGAAAGGTTTCAAAAAGAGAAAAAACATTGCGGGACAAAACATTTTGTAAATCTAGAATAAAGAGAAAAATAACAGCAACTAAAGGAAGGAACGATACAGGTGGGGCTAAAAATTGTAGATAGTATGCTATACCTTTCAATCTTCTTAGAAAATAGAAGCACGTATAGTCAGTTAACATCACCATCCAAGAATGAATGGGATGTGAACCAGAATGTCAGAGAAGCTCGAATAGCCTTCCCAGAGGTACCAATCGCCCTATTAAATGGTTGTACCTATTAGATGAGTGAGTATCACACTATGGGTATGGTCTTATAAGCAGCAACAACATCATGTGATACATTAATCTGGGTAAATATTAATTATGTCAAAGAGGAACTTGATCACATTCTCCTCTTTTTTTTTCCATTTCATTTGTCTTTCTTTTTTGTTCGGCTGCTATTTGATACACCAATATTTGACCAGATTCATTAAAATCATAATTCAATCAATATACCGCTGTAACCATAGTAGTGGTACATCCTCGATAAAATAAACCAAAATATAATAAAGCAGCCACTAGTTAAACAAAATAGTTACATCTTTCCAACATGACACTGAAGTCTGAAACCACGGCATCCATCACACTTCGATCTTACAGACAACGACATTGTGATACAAATTCTAAAATATCTTGCTCGTAAAAGTTGAATGAGACGCATGGACTTATTGTCCGCATGCTTAAGCTCTTGGTCACAATACATAACTAAAAAGAGAACAGTCACATGAACTGAATCGATACATATTGAAATGAAAGGTGTGGGAAAGGTGAAAGGGTGATGTGGCCTCTTATATGATTTTCTTATGGTTTTTAATTTTACTCTCATACTTCATTCTTTTACTATTCCTACTTCCTACCTAACCAAATACCACCATTAGAAAAATTAATAAAATTAAACTAAGTGAATGTATTTCACACAAAATTAGTTTTAGTAACTAAAGTGGTTATCTGTCTTCTTGAATACTTTTTAATGCTTATGGTTTAAGTTCAATTCTTTTTTTAATTTATTTATCTGTTACTATTTAAAAATTAAAATTACTATCCGAAATTATATCGTCAAAAAACATCGTATTACGATGGTGAAGCATTGATGTTTGTATGGGTGCTTATAGCATTGCGGACTGTTCTCTTCTTCTTCTTTTCAAATTGAAACGTCGATAATAGATATTATCCAAATATTGTCATTGCGTGAAAGTGAGGAAGTAGTTATCGTACGAAAAAAGAAATATCACATAGTAGGCACCAAATTTGAACTGTCTGATAGTAGTAATAATAAAAAGGGTTAATACTACAAAAAACCTCAAGCCTGGTACACATGTGACAATTTTACCAATTTTTTTATTGCCAAAACCCCAAACTGGTACACGTGTGACAATTTTATCCCGAACATACCCCAAAAAACCCCAAAATGGTACACGTATGACAATTTTACCCCGAACATACCCCAAACTGGTACACTTGTGACAATTTTACTCTGAACATACCACAAAAAACCTTAAACTGGTACACATGTGACAATTTTACCCTGAACTAAAATTTTAATTTTTATTTTTATTTTTTTCGAATTTTTATTATTTTTTTGTTTTTCTTTTCTTCATCTTCAACCTTTGGCCGGTCGCCGGCCCTGCGTCGAGGCGAGTGCTGCCTCGCCGGGCGGGCGGGAGGCAACCCTCGCTGACTCAAGCGGGTCGCCCTGCGAGGGTGCTCGCCCGGGCGGGCGAGGACAGCCTCGCCGGATCGGCGAGGTCGGCCCTCGCCGGCGTTGGGCGAGGGCTGTCCTCGCCCGCCCGGGCGAGGTCGGCCCTCGCCCGGACTCGGGCGAGGGCCGCCGCGCCCTAGATCCGGCGAGGGCAGCCCTTACCGGCGTTGGGCGAGCTGTCCTCGCCGACGCCGGCGAGGGCCGACCCTCGCTGGGCGGGCGAGGACAGCCCTCGCCGACGCCGGCGAGGGCGGCCCTCGCCCACGCCGGGCGAGGGTCGCCCTCTTCACGCCGGCGAGGGCGAGCCTCGATAGCGGCAGGCGAGGCCGCTCGCGCCGCTCCGGCGAGGTCGAGCCGCTCCCGGCGGCCGGCCGACTGAGCGCTTCCGCCCGGCTGAGGTTGAAGATGAAAAAAAGACGAAAAAAAAGAAAAGAAAAGAAAAAATAAAAAAATTCGAAAAAATAAAAAATAATTTTAAAAAATTATTAGTTCGAGGTAAAATTGTCACAGGTGTACCAGTTTGAGGTTTTTCGTGGTCAAAAAAATAGTTTAGGGTAAATTTGTCACGTGTTTACCAGTTTGGAGTAAAATTGTCACAGGTGTACTAGTTTGGGATTTTTTGTGGTAAAAAAAAAGTTTGGGGTAAAATTGTCACAGGTGTACCAGTTTGGGGTTTTTGGTGGTAAAAAAAAAGTTAGGGGTAAAATTGTCACACACATACCAGTTTAGGGTTTTTGGTGATATTAACCCTAATAAAAATGATGATGATAGATAGAATAGAATTGAATTGAATAGATGATCCACCATAATAGAGTTACGATAATAATTGAAAGTAATAATTTTTAGTGATTTGTCATCTTTTTAGAACTTATGATATACTTCTTACAATTCCTCTTTTTTTATTTTGCAGAGACAATAAAATCATTATACTCTTTTATGTGTTTGATCAATCCGTGCATTCACGGGTATGATCCTAGTGTAGTCGTATAATGAGTAAAGGTTTTGTTTTCCTTTTTCCCTCCTAGCTAAGCACACAGGTCACCTTTAGGAAGAGGGAGAATATTTATGCAACTTTCTTGAGATAAAAAAGAGAGGGAAGCGAATCTTACAGCTTCTTTAAAAGCTAAAAAGGCAGCTTCTGGCAGGTATGCATATGTTGTACCACTGTCCAGGACAGTTCCAAGTTTTCCATCAAAAACACTGGGTTTTAGAGCCAATTGCTTCCCCGCAACATGTATCTCCTTCAGATCAATATTGTAATAGGGACTGTCAACATCCCAAAAATGGAGTAAATGTGTGAGATGTATCAAAAGTAGTGGTCTATAAATTGAATTACATACTACAACCACAAGATATTGCGCTTGCGAAACATACCTACGTCCAGCATCTGAATATGCATACACCATGTCTGATGGTGGAAATATTCCACCAAGAACCATAGCACCGCCACCAATTTCCATTCCACCATAACATAAGGAGAATGAATCACTAATCACGCCTTTCTCAACAAGTTGATCAACAATACTGGGATCTCCACGGCCAAGCCCCATTATGCCATCAGCATGCTGGCTAAAAAGGTTGCCTGTTTCAACATTTTCACAACCAAAAACAGTACGTTGTGGTGCAAGTTCACTAAGATTGCCAAAGGATACTATGTCGTCGCCAAGCACACCACTGCTAGTACTCATTTCAGCATATGGCGTCTCATAAATACACTGTGCTCTCTTGTCATCACACGTGCAATTGATGTTGCATTTGACGGGTTGGTAGGTACTTGACAATTCAGGTTGGAACTTTGGATCCTAGAGAAAATGTCAACGTCAGTGCACAAATCAACAGCTAAAGGCATGTACCAAGTCAATTATGCATCATGTGAGCATTTTTCAGCTATAGAGATCTCTAAAGATTTACGGGCAAAGTTGTCAGCAGAAATAGTCTATTTGAAAATGTATACAGCTAGCGCATACTTCAGTTTTTTGAAAATGTATGCATTCAAGCTTCTAATCAGTAGGTCAAACGAAGTTGCTCTCTACAGAGCATGCTCTATATAGTCAAGACTGCAATTGGTTTCACAGCAGCAAGTTTCAACCCACAAGTCAATTATGCATCATGTAAGCATTTTTCAGCTATAGAGATCTCTAAAGATTTATGTGCAAAGTTGTCAGCAGAAATAGTCTATTTGAAAATGTATACAGCTAGCGCATACTTCAGTTTTTTGAAAATGTATGCATTCAAGCTTCTAATCAGTAGGTCAAACGAAGTTGCTCTCTACAGAGCATGCTCTATATAGTCAAGACTGCAATTGGTTTCACAGCAGCAAGTTTCAACCCACAAGTCAATTATGCATCATGTGAGCATTTTTCAGCTATAGAGATCTCTAAAGATTTACGTGCAAAGTTGTCAGGAGAAATAGCCTATTTGAAAATGTATACAGCTAGCGCATACTTCAGTTTTTTGAAAATGTATGCATTCAAGCTTCTAATCAGTAGGTCAAACGAAGTTGCTCTCTACAGAGCATGCTCTATATAGTCAAGGCTGCAATTGGTTTCACAGCAGCAAGTTTCAACCCTACCACCTTTTCATCATAAGGTTGAAAACAGGGCAGCGGAGAATGGGAATTTGCAGAACATTACATTTTCTCTTAATTGTCTCATTCAAATAATTGATTGACTTGAGCAAGGATAATGGCGTGTCATTCTTGATATGTAATATCTTTGTGTACACTTCTTGACACATTAGAATTCTCAATAAGGATTATCTCCAACAAATAGACCATGCTGTCAACGGAAACTAGGCTTTCTTATGAATAGTTATTGAAAAGAATACAGCGACCATCGGATTTTTCTACCCATCTAATTTCCTTCCAATCTGTCTCCTGTCTGGTATGATCCTTGCTTCCTTTACTTCTTTGAAGATATGTAATGCACCAAAAGGGTAGGAAAGCTAGGGCATCCTGCATCAATTGTTATAAGAGCGCACAGTTCTTCTGGCATCACACACTTTTTACATTCCTAGTGTTGCTTCCATCACTTGCAACTTCACCATAACAAGTCCCACGTTACACCAGCTTAGCGAAACACATCAGAACTCCAGTATTTGTTGGTCTAAGATAAATGCTACCCACAAATTGATGCTAGATGGTGGATTCTTTTCCAACGTCAATGCCCGGATTCAATTAGTAAAAGCAACGCAAAAACAAAACTTAGCAAAGAAAAGGACTTGATGAAGAATTAAAAAACTACCTGATGACGGCCACACTGGTCGCAGGTAGAGCACGGCACATAAGTGACAGTGCTTCCCGTGTCAACGATCAGCGCGAATTTCTGAGGCGGCGTTCCAATCCAAAGCCTCGTAGTATAGTATCTATTCTCAAGCACAAAACAGAGAACAATCAAAACGCCAAACTCACACCGAAAAAATGAGGTCAGCAACCGCACCCAAACTCCACTAGAGAACCGATAACGAAATCCGGCGACGTACCCGTTGAGGACGAGATCGTCGTACAGAGACATGCGCGCGTTGGGGCGATGCGATCGCCGGAGATGCCGGCGGGAGGAGGAGGAGGCGGCGGCGGTGGCCCGGGAGGAGGCGTCGGGGGGCGAGAGGAACAGCGGGAGGACCATGGCGGTGGGGTGGGCGGCGACGTCGCGCGCGGCCGAGACGCCGGACCGGGCCAAGGCGAGGAGCAGGCACAGGGAGACGGGGACGATGGCGGCGGCGGCGGAGGTCAAGCGAAGCGGCGGAATCGCCATTGTCGGCGGGGGGAGGGGGGAGCTTCGGCGCGAGCCGACGGCGAATACGGGCAACCTGAGTTTGGTCAGAAGTTTTTTTATTCTTTATTTTTTTAATTCGTTTTCCTTTTTGTTTTTTTTTTGGCGGGATCGGTTGTTGGCTGGTCAGATGCAGAAGTTTTTATGTTTCTTGTTCTCTTTCGATTTGCATGTGCGGTCGCTTTCCTTGAGCAATCAGCATGAAGTGCCCTTAAACAAAATGTGGGAGATGGGAGTTGTGTCATAAGGAGGTGCTTGTTAAGCATATTTTAATGCGGAATGATTCTGACTTCTGCAAAAAAAAAATTGATTATATATGACATGAAAATTAGTTGGTGCGTCGAATCTTTACTGAGTTTCCAAGCTTATATCTGGGCTAGTTGACTTGCCTGGTTTAGTATAAAGCTTAATTCAGTAACATTTGTTCAGGCAATATTGTGTGGTCATCACTTATAGAAAGATTCACCTTTCGGTGTGTTATGATATTACAATCGATTAATTCTGTGTCGTTAAATGTATATGATCATGTGACGCATGGATCCTAACAATTCTAGGAATAAAGCAGCGAAATTTTGTAAATGTTATATATGGAAATGAAATGAAGGTCACCTTACTAGCTGGTTGAATGTTACTTGTGATTAAAGATGATTGGTTTCAAGATGGGTCGATCCCCGGTTTTGTAACTCTCGATTTTAAACAGGGAACCAAATCAATTGGTTCCCGGTTCTACTAGGAAACCGATTCAATTCATTTAATTAGACACAATTGATGGCTAAAACTCACTTATATTTGTCCGCTATGTGTTATCTGCATGTGCTTGCGTACCTGTGTGTAAGATAAGATTGTGTGAACTTTAGTGGGGTTGATTAGGGCGCACATGAAATCATTTCTGTTTCTCAATTTTTCTATTTTTCTGCTTTCAGGAACAGGTTTGGAACAGAAATCCGTTTGGTAATGCAATTTCATTTTTCTATTTCTAGAACAAATTTCTATTCCAGAAATAGGTTTGGAACATAAATCAGAAGTTAAAAAAAATCTACTTTTATATTTCTGGAATAAAAATGAGAAATAAAAACGTTTTTTCATCGCTCGTCCTCGCTACTAGCTGCCCACCCCTTTGCCGCTTGCTATTGCCATCGGTCGCCTCTCGCCACCGCTGGCTGCTTCCCACCGGCATCCTTCGCCGACCGTCTCCTCCCACCGCCATCCTTTGCCGTTCCCCGCAGCCCAATGCCGGCCGCAACCCACCCACCGCCGCCTCCCGCCATCCTTCGCCGCCACCTACCAACCGCCTTCCGTTGCCGACTGCCTCCTGCCCGCCGGCTGCCGTCCACCGCCAGCCACCTCTTGCCGCTGACCATTGTCCTTCGCCGCTCGACGTCGGACACCACCGGTCGCCGTCCTCTGTCGCTGTGCTCCACCGCTTGACGCTGGCCACCACCTGGCGCCGGTCTCCCTTTGCCACCTCCCGCCGTCGGCCGCTCGACGCCAGTGGCCAGCCACCACGGGCCACCGTGCTCCACCGCCCAACGCCGGCCGCCCTCCACCACCGGCCACCGCCTGACGCCGCCGACTGCCGTGCTCCATCGCTGACCACCGTGCTCCAACACCCGACACTGGCTGTCGACCACCTCTCGCCTCCGGCCACCATCTTTTGCCCCCCGCCACCACCCGCCATCCTCCACTAGCCGTCCGAAATGAATAAATTTTGTGTCGTTATCAAATGAATTTCTATTTCGGAAATAGAAATTTTGTGTCGTTATCAAACGCGCTTTTTGCTCATAAACTAGTCCATGGAATAGAAATAGAAAAATCAATTTCTGGCCAGAAATTGATTTCTAGAACAAGAATGTTATCATTTGCGCCCTTAGTCTAAATATATTGGTTGCATTAGTAAAAGCACGTTCCATGTTCAAAAGTCAATCTTACGTACTTGGTAACTTTGCTTGAAAAGACCGTTTTGTGCATAAAAGTTGTAGAAAGATGAACGAGCCGTAGACCGCACATAAGCGTAGCGACCTAGGATGAAACTCACCCCGTTCGGAAGAAGGTCAATGTCACGATACGTTGATGTCGACGGGCTTGTAATGGCATGCTTACCCTTCTTGAAGGTCCTGTGGACCTTTTGTGCGGTTAAGTAACCATAACTTGTACGGATCATTCGTAACGGGTTTGAACAGCCTATCTATATAACAATATTTCAGGAGAATTGTTAAGCTTAATCAGCCTTTCCACCCTCTGATACTCCTTAGTGGCTACAGGTGATATTGGCATGGAAAGCAAAGAATAGACTTGACGCGTTTGAGGCTGATACGTTAAAAGGTGCTTTATTTTGTGTTTGAGTAATTTTCTTGAAGAAGGAAAGGGGAGCCCCGGCCTCCTGGGATAATCTAGGGAAAAGCATATATGCTTTTATTATTCATTTGGAAGGAAAATAACAATTTATAATGGAGACTTCAAGGAAAATAAAAGATTGTGTCAATAATCAAACAAGTAACATAAGATAACATACAAGAACCCTGAAATGGGAATGAGATAAGGACTTCAGTCTATGAAACTAGGAGCCAAAGAAGGGAAATTGACACAAATGATCACTGAACTTTGGCCCAATGTGCAATATAGTATATAAACTTGTAATTTGTTCAATATGGTATCCGAACTGTAACTCAATATGCAATGTGGTCCTTGAACTTTCAGTTTGTTCAATGTGGTCTCTAGACTTTTGGTACATGTTCAGTTTAGTCCTGTACTACGTGAAAATATTAAATGTTGTCCCTGAACTTGAATTAATAGAAGGACAATATTGAACATTTTCATTTAGTTCAGATACTAAGTTGAATATCTGCCAAAAGTCCAGGGACCATATTGAACAAATTAAAAGTTTAGGAACCACATTGCACATTAAGCTAAAGTTTAGGGACTATATTAAACAAATAAAAAGTTCAAGGACCACATTGCACATTGAGCTAAAGTTTAGGGATTATTTTTGTCGTTATCGCACCAAACAGAAACCCAAGAACAGTATGCAACCCCCTGAAGACTACTGCTAGAGGATGCCCATGTTGAGCTCTATCGCGGGGGAAGAACAGCAGTTGTGCCAAAACTTATGTACGGAGGCCACTTTGGTGCCAAAACTTTCATTTGGATCACTTAAGTGCCAAAAGTTTACGCCGGCGATCACTTAAGTGCCAAATCGGAGAAAAAACGATCACTTAAGTGCCAACGGCGAGAAATTCCGATCAAATTTAATACGTGGCTTTTATATTTAAATTTTAATGACACGTGGCATTTCCATGTGTATAATTCAATTTTTTAAATATTTTTTTTCTGATTTTCTTCTTTCTTTTCTTTTTTTTTTTCTTTTCTTTCTTCTTATTTCCGATGGCCGGCGTCCGGCCACCGGCCATGGCCGGCCTCGCCGGGCATCGACTTCCTCCGGGCGAGGCTCAGCGAGGCCGCCGTGGCCTCAGCGAGGGCCGGCCTCGCCGGATCTGGCGAGGCGAGCCCTCGCCGGGGCTCGCCCTGCCCAGGCGAGGGTCGAGGTCGCCTGGGCATGGCGAGCCCCGACGAGGGCTAGCCTCGCCGGATCCGGCGAGGCCGGCCCTCGCCGAGGCCACGGGCTGCCTCGCCAGGCCTCGCTCGGAGGAAGGCGAGGCCCGCGAGGCAGCCGTGGCCTCGCGAGGGCCGGCCTCGCCGGATCCGCGAGCGGCGAGCCCTCGCCGGGGCTTGCCCCGCTCGGGCGAGGTCGAGGTCACCCGGGCGGGGCGAGCCCCGGCGAGGCAGCTGTGGCCTCGGCGAGGCCGGCCTCGCGAGGGCTCGCTCGCCGGCGACCTCGACCTCCGGCGAGGCGGCCCGCCATGGCTCGTGGCCGGATCCGCGGCGGCCATGGCCGGTGGCGGACGCCGGCCATCGGAAATAAGAAGAAAGAAAAGAAAAGAAAGGAAAAAAGAAAGAAAAGGAAAAAAAAGAAAAGAAATGCCACATCAGCCTCCGGCGAGCCACATCGGCCTCCGGCGAGCCACATCAGCTTGAGAAATTAATAAAAAAATGCCACGTCGGATTTCCGGCGAAGTGGCACTTAAGTGATCGTTTTTCACAACTTTTAGCACTTAAGTGATCCGATTGAAAGTTTTGGCACCAAAGTGGCCTCCGTACACAAGTTTTGGCACCAATGCTGTTCTTCCCCCGCTCTATCGCCGTAAACTCATGAAACTTGAAACCCTGGCATGGCCTGGACCGAAACAAAGGCGATGGGTACTCGGGCAAGCATTGACAGATGCCCATGGGAGATCCGGGGATGATGAGAGGCGATACGAGTCACCATATAAATGGATAGGAAAAACGGCACAGAGTGCCGCGATGTCGAGAGGGAGAGATGGGCAGCATAGGGTTGCTGCCAGTGTCGGTTGCTTGATCGATGGTGAAGGTGAGATCATTCGCGGTGGGCCGGTAGCATGCGATAGAGAGATCTGGTGGTATGGTAGAGAGCAATGCGTGATGATGGTCAAGGTGCGATTACAAGGTGTGGCGGTGGCTAGGTGAGGGGTGACGATGATGTGGCTAGCAATAGGCGGCGGAGGTGGCAAAATACAAGCGAACGGCCAAACTATAGCGGAGATGGATGGACAAGCAACGGGTGGCAGTGGAGGAGGGGAAGGAGGCATCGACTTCTTCTGCCTAGAATCCTAAAGAGACTGTAATAATATGGCTCAACATGCCCGATCCCAAGTATAGTATAATGACCTCAGCCCATATGTAACCCCTTCTCCCATCTCCTTCAGCGGCTTCGACGCAGCTGAAGCGTAAAGAAAAGAGAGAAGCGGCGGCCACAAAACCAAAGAAAGGGAAGAGGAAGTGACGCTCGTTGGTGGAGAAAGGGAAAGAGGAAAAGGAGAGAGGATAGAGAAATCTTCGCGCATAGTCAATCCGGACGTCTTCATAAGCCGAATCAACTTCAAATTGCAACGCCTGGTATGTATTTAAGCCTATTTTTCGTCTAATTGGAGTAATTTTTGAAGTTAGATCGTAAATTCGGAATTATGTGAATTTTGAGTTACGAAATCCGATTTTGGAGTTACCAAGTTGTATATTATATGGAAAAGATAATTTAGGGCATTGTGGAGCCATAGGATTTGACAAAAATCAATTCTAAAGTACAATTTCATCGGAACTGTTGTAAAATATTGCGATGCAAGAATATAATAGAGAGAATAGAGAGAGATTAAGCAGAGAAAGTAGATAAACACCAAAGATGGTAGAGAAAGTCAGAGGGGAAATTTTATTTTCACTGTATATTTTCCTCTTTCATTCTCTTCTTCTGATCTAATTTCTTACCCAATGACAAAAAATAAGCTCCTATTTATAAGGAAACAAGGATGCACATATCATTAATGTCAATGTATTAAATATATACATTGAATAGGGAGATGGGTATTCATACGTAGAATGTAGGTTACGAATGTGCCATAATAGGTACATTGAATATTCATTCATGTATGTAGGTTACGAATGTGCCATAATAGGTACATTGAATATAATGAATATTCATTCATGTATTTCATAACACTCCCCCTTGAATATTCATTGTATTCATGAATGTGCATTGAATGATACTGCCTCAGTAAAAACCTTAAGCCGGAAAAACCCAGTGGGACAAAAACCGGACAAAAGGGAAAAAGAGTACAGGGCACAAATTTTATGATCTCTCCCTTTTATGGATACATTAATTGCCTCATTAAAAACCTTAAGCCGGAAAAACCCAATGGGACAAAAACCGGACAAAAGGGAAAAAGAGTGCAATGCATAGTTCACAATATCTCCCCCTCAATTTGAGCTACATAGCCACTGCTGGGGCTAGTTAACCTTGCATCTTATGAACTCGCCGCATACCAATGCCATATACTAATTTCTCAAAAGTTGACGTTGGCAATGATTTGGTAAAAAGATCTGCAAGATTGTTTATGGATTGAATCTGCTTAACATCAATTTGTCGACTTTCTTGGAGTTCGTGAGTATAGAAAAATTTCGGCGAGATATGCTTGGTCCTATCACCTTTGATATATCCTCCCCTAACTTGTGCAACACAAGCAGCATTATCTTCATAAATTATAGTGGGAGAATTTGTAACCGGTGTTAAGCAACAAGAATTGTGAATATGTGTTATAACGGATCTTAGCCAAACACACTCTCTTCCAGCTTCATATAAAGCAATAATCTCATAGTGGTTGGAAAGTGTAGCTACTAGCGATTGCTTCGTAGAACGCCAAGAAATGGCGGTGCCATTATAACAAAATAAATAACCAGTTTGAGAGCGAGCTTTATGTGGATCAGATCTATATCCAGCATCAGCATATCCAACTAAACCAGAGGTAGTGGAATCCTTGGAATAATATAATCCCAAATCTATGGTTCCTCGGAGATAACGAAAAATATGTTTAACTCCATTCCAGTGTCTCCGAGTTGGCTCAGAACTAAAACGTGCCAATAAATTTACCGCAAAAGCGATATCTGGTCTCGTACATTGTGCCAAGTACATCAAAGCCCCAATTGCATTGAGATATGGTACTTCAGGACCAAGTATCTCTTCATCAGATTCTTTAGGACGAAACGGATCCTTTTGAGGATCTAGAGACCTTACAACCATAGGAGTGCTCAATGGGTGAGCATTGTCCATGTTGAAGCGTTTAAG